AAAATATATATACGTGTGTGGGTGTCTATCTCTATGTCTGTGCAACATGTATTATATATATGTATATGTACATATGTGTGTGTGCGTGTGTGTATATGTATATATATATCTGTTTCCTAGCTTTCGTGTCTTCCTGTTTCCTTGTAGTGGAAACGAATTGCGAATATATATATATATATATATATATACGTATATATATGTGTGTGTGTTTATGTCTGTGTTTGCATTATGTATTATGTATTATGTATATACGTATATATATATATATATATATATAATATATATATACTAATGCTTATTTGTGTGTGTATGTATGTATGTTTGTTGTGTATGCATATATCTGCGTGTGTATGTATATATATATATTCATTTTGTTCGTTTGATTGTTTATTTATTTGCACGTATGTGTGTCTGTGTCAGTGTATGTGTGAGTTTATTAGTATAAGTATATTTTATATGTGTATGTAGCTATGTATATATATCTGTATATATATATATATATATGTACGTGTGTGTGTGTGTGTGTTTGCATGTGTCTATATATATATATATTTATATATTTTTATATATTTGTAATATTTCTATATATATCTGTATGATATGTATAATGTATAGTTCTAGGTATATGTACATCTGTATGTGTATGTATAGCTCTTAGTATATATGTTATATAATCTCTGATCATGATTTAATGTGTACCGCACCCTCACAGGACGATGAACTATCGAAACTAAATCTCTCAAAAGACAAGCAGAAAGTTTTAGATAAGTTCACAGGGAAAAAGAAAAGTAATTTCGAAGCCGAGGTGATCTCCGGTGAACAGTTGCAGTCCAGTACCAGTTCGCCAACCTCAGAATCCGAGTCTGAATCAATCCCCTTACTAAGCGTGGACGATGTCATAGACTACGTAGAACAACAGACACCCGAATTCCAGCTGTACCTGGATGGAGCGCACTATGAAGGGGATAGGAAGAGTGTGACGAGTATCTTAAACTTCTTGAAGAAGCAGCAGTTGCTTGCAGTCGGTGAGGTGACTTCTGGCTCTGAGTCTGGCTTCGAGGAGATCGCCTGGACTCCTGTAGTATGTCCAAGTCGTGTTTGCGGCTGTCCAAACACTCCTCACAACATATATTGTATACTGTACTACAACATATTATATATTGTACTACAACATATATAATGTATTACAACATACTTATTCTGGACGCGTGCTGTATGTGTACGTTGATTATAGTGCCCCTGTAGATAATCTGTTCATCAAAGTGTAATGCACTGTGGCACTATCATCTTTTTATTTTGTTTTTTGAATGCTGCTACTGTTGTGTCGCTATTGCGTTCTGATCAGAACTATCCTTCCATCGCCCCTCTGTACTATGTTTTCCTTCCAATTGTCTTTTGTCATCTCATGAAATTATTTGGTGATTTTTTTTATGATGTTTCTCTCATCGCCTATTTTTTGGCCTACTTTTATTTCAAGCTAGGCCGCTTCGTACTGTTTTCTTTCCTTTCTACACCCTCTGGAATTTTTGAAATGTTATATAAATCATCTGGAATGTTATATAAATCATCTGGAATATTATATAAATCATCTGGAATGTTATATAAATCATCTGGAATATTATATAAATCATCTGGAATGTTATATAAGTCATCTGGAATGTTATATAAATCATCTGGAGTGTTATATAAATCATCTGGAATGTAATATAATTCACTTCGCCTGCCGTTTCCTGCTGCTTCAGTGTGACCTTATCTCCCAATGGATTACACTGGGCACGTCTAGGACATGTTTCTCCTCTTTAGGTACACTAAATGCCGCTTCCTCTCGTTTTTGTTTATAGACGATCAAAGAGAATGTGCGCGCGAATAACAAAAATTTTGTGAAGTTCCTTGTGACCGAGGGATACGAGGGCGATCCCAAGGATTTGAAGTCTGTCACCGAGTTCTTCCGACGCTCCAATCTGATGGAGTCAAGTATGTCACAGATCACAACAGAAAGAAACATGGTCTCTTCGGTTTGTATTGATGGATGTGTTTCTTGGCACCTGGACTTATTAAACGCTACACTGACTGCCGGGAGTGGTTTTCATAACCAGCTTCTCAGTACGGTGTGGTAGATTATGGTCGCCACAAAGAGCTTAAACGTTAGGTATTCAAGTATTTCTAGTTTCTTGATTGATTTTATATATAGCCCAATTCTGTCTGATGGTGATGGCTGAATCAATACCTACAGCCGTTGACGATCAAGACGTGTTCACCGAGTCGTACGTGCGTCAGTTAATTGAGGAGAAGAACAAGGACCTGACTGATTTTCTCAGCAAGAAGGGGTACAAGGGCCAAATCCGGCACTCCAATCGAGTGGTTGAATTCATGCGCTCCAAGCAACTGATTGTCCCCAGCGATGACGAGCACGAGGAGCCCAGTACGTGAATTGGATATTACAATGACTGTATAGTCTGTATATACAGATATGTGTGGATAAATATTTATGTATATATCTGCTTGTATTTGTCTGCTTTTGTGCGTGTGTGTTTGTGTGTGTATCTATTAAATTTATAGATATATACTATATATATATATATGTAAGTCTGTGTCTGTGTCTCTGTGTGATTAGACGGATACCCGTTTATGTCTGTAGGCTTCGATAACTTGAATCGCCCAAAGTGCCGTGCACAAAGCCACATACTTGACCTGACCGGCATGCCGATATACATGCTCTCTCTCTCCATCCATACATGTCTATCACGCACTTAATTGAACTATTCTCTCTCTCTCTCTCTCTCTCCATCCATCCATACATGTCTATCACGCACTTAATTGAACTATCCATCAAGTAGCTCGTGATCTTCGTATCTCAAGCGATGTCCCCTACGCAGCACCGCCTGTGATAATGTAGATAGACATGTACGAGCAAGTAAAGTTTTTGTTAACAGATCGCACCCCTTGTTTTTTTAGACGATCTTACACCACTCAATATATTGCGATGAGTTTGTGTGTCCGCATATATGCCCCAGTTTATCGCCAAGCCATCAGGCAACCCCGACGTCTTGGTCTAATAAAATGTGTTCATTCATATATGTCACCCACTATGCAGAACGCTGTGCACAACTCTCCCGAAGTACACACTCTTTATTTATTTATATCCATGTGTATGTATCACTAACTAGTATGCTAATACTTCATGAGCACTCGTATATATATATATATACCACTAACTAGTAAGGTATGCACCGTAGACACTCGTGTATACACACCACTTACTAGTGTACATATGCAATATAGGCACGTACATACGTGCACCAATTATCAGTATACTATGTAGAGTAGACACTCACATATATACACTACTAATCCGTATACTGTTCTGCATAGACACTTTACTAACCTGTATGCTATGCAGTATAGGCACTCGCATATATACACCACTATTCATTATACTACACATTAAAGGAAATAGACGCTCGGTCGTATGCACAACTAACTAGTACATCCTTCACGCACAGACGCTTCCGACATTGCTATTTCCGAGGAGCAGGCTAAGAAGCAGGCTGATTACCTCATATCGACCAATGAACTCCTGGACTATATGGGCGACCCCGATTTCAAGGCCTATCTCAAAGAAGAGCTTGACTTCGAGGGTGATGTGGAGAGCTTTGATGAAGTGGCCGAATTTTTGGACCAAGAGCATGGTGCATTGGTAATGTCTACTAGTATAGGGGAAGTCGAGGAAGCACAGTATGAACCCGAGTCCGACCCGGAAAACCCTATTTTGGGGGGCATTGATCCGAAGACTTTCTTCGAGGATAAGCATGACATGTGGAAGGACGAATTCCCTGCGGTGGTATGACTTACTACTAATCATGTGTTAGTTGATGTATATATGTATAGGTCATGTGTAGTTGATGTATATATGTATAGGTATGGTCGTTTTCACGTACATTCTTTTATATATATATGTGTGTGTGAGTGTGTAAATCGATTCTAACATGTAATGTTTTACCTTACCCTTCCGACAAGGCTTCAAAGCGTAGTCCACCTATCTAGAACCCCGATATGGATATATATAGTAATGGCCGCAAGTGCCACCTTCTCCCATCCTCACACAGTGCCTTATCTGCCGCGCTGTTGGCGACCATATGACATTCGATTGCCCCGCGCCGACGCTCCAAGACTACCTCAAAAAGGATCACCGTGACATAGACTCGGACCATAGCTTGCCTACAGTGTTGGACGCCGCAGACTTAACTCGCCGTACACGCAGTAGTAGGTACATCAATGAACCACCCAGCGGTGTGTATATGGGAGGTGTTCCTAAGAGAGCCCCATATAAGATGTACCTCGATACGGCCGAGGAGTCGAACGCGGAATCTGAGACAGATTCGGAATGGGAGGTGTGTATTGAACGTCTGATCGTATCTGCGGTTGCGAGCTCGTGGGAGTGGTTACCGAAGTGTGTTGTATCTCTTTTAACCCACAACTGCTTTTGCTCTGATATTAGCTGAGTACGTTTATCTGATTGTCATCAGTACGCCGCTGTATGTTCATACATACGAAGCAAACACATGCGTCAAATGAATAACGTTCATTGGCAAGCAATATTCGTGTATATTGTTTGTATTTTTATTTATTAATAAGGACATGTATTTATATGCATATCTGTATTTGTAATTTTTTAAACTATACTAGCATATATATCTGTATTTGGATATCTGTGTCTATATACGTATTTATATATATATATATATCCTTATGTATGGAATTGTGTGTATTTTTTTCGTACGTGTACTTCGCATACATTGCCTGTGTATCTGAATATACCTTTTAATTCTTCATAATTCCGCACATTAATGTATCATACGCATCCATGTGTGTGTGCAAACTTGCACACAGCTGGGCAAATAAATATGTAGTTCGTGTATTCATACGTGACCCTATACTGCCTACCCACTCATTAACGTATCTATCTGCCATTTTGTGTTTTTCTCCACGGGTAGTACATGTTTATATCTGTTCGATCTGTTCGATCATGATCATAATCTCTCAGACAGCACAATATAGTGAAATTATATTCACAAAATAATGAATATATATTATATCTTAAACACCACAGAAAATGACTAGCCCCGACTACTTCGTTGGTGACGACAAAGGCAACAACTCTTCCTCCGACTACACAGTCTCCGAGTCAGAAGACGACAGTATAGAGATCGGCGAGCAGGACTTCGAGTATCTGAGCAGCAGTGATAGTGACAGCGGGTCTGTGAAGTCAAGCAAGAAGGTGACCAAGGAAGAGAGTGCAGCAGATGTCACAGCGGCGGCTGAAGCTACAGCTACGGTTACAGACACACCCGAGCCCGTGCAAGCAGACGCGTACGCGGAGAACCAGGAGGATGTTGCACAGCAGGCTGCCAGTGAGCAGTTGGAAAGTTCGGTACAACTGGAAGGGGACTCGGGTGCGGACAGTGAGGATGCCAATGGTGTCGCCCCGGGCGCTGGGCCGGGCTCGCGGAATGCGAAGGATGCGAAGGATGAACGGGGATGGGGTGCGGGTACGATCTTGATTTTTGTGTCAATATGTGTTTAATTACAGCGTGTGTGTGTATGTTTATATATATATGTGTATGTGTGTGCGGGAAAGTGTTGAAAAGCGGAAATGAAATTTGCCGGTGTCTAGTATTTGCGTCAGATATCAAGTCAAAAAGCGCCCGAGTATATTGTGGCACTCCAAGGAAGTATGCGTGTAGCTTTACTCATCCAACCACCCAAAAACATGGATATCTTTCTATAGTTCGGCTATGATCTGATTCTTCTAACACCCCCACTGTCATCTTTGCAAGCAGAGGTGCCGGTCAGCACTGATGATGACGCGTATTCTGCCTGGGAAGAAAGCATGGATGAGAAGGAAGCGCGTAATCGCCTGCAGTTTGCCACCATGCAGAGGGACGAGTTTATCAAATACTTTAACTGGCTGGAGCAAGGCGGAGACGTGACACAGATCATCAATCCCAGTGTGAAGCGACACTACCTGAAGGTTAGTGAAGGCAATGCTACATTCGTGGTTTGTGTGCATGATGGTTTAAGTAGGGATCTCAGGACCTACGTGTCTATCTACGAGCTATGTGATTGGCAAGGTGTGCGACCCACAATGTCAGTCGCTGTGTAAGGAAGCATTTCTTCTTGGAGTTGCGTCTGTAGACTCGTGCAGCTCTATTACACACGGTTCTTCAGTAGATAAGTACATATCTACCGTGTATGCTAGAATTAGCGATGCTGTATCCCTGTCCCTTCACCACTATTCACGGCAGTCGGTAAGTAGTATGTCCCAAGAAATTCATGTGTACAACTGTGTATGTGTGCTAGTGCGTCGGATATGTTGGTATGAATCATTCAATTGCAGACTGTTAACTGTGTTACTTCCAACAATGCTCGCCTATTCCGAGCATTGCGTCCAGAACCGCGTGGGAAGGTTGTGTGTTTTTTACGATGTTAGTTTACTACCCTAAATACCTTTTACGGCATCATCGGTCATCATATTATACCCTCTCTATTCACTGCAGTAGCGCCCAATCAATTCGAATAACTGACATCTTCTTGAAACACCCCTTTTCCGTGTTGTTACGCAGAGTCTACGAATGACTGGTGAGGTGCCTATGCGCAAGAAACCCACAGCCAACATAGACGAAAGAAAGCGAGCCATGGCAGCCTCCTTCGATCTTTAACACGCACCCGCTGTGTTGAAAGACATACACCCCCGCGTTGCAAAGAAGGTGTCACGTTTTGCTGGCTATTGACACAGCCACGTATGGTGCTCAAGTGAAACATATACATGCTTAGCTGAGAGTGGCTTATGTATATTACTTCAAGCTATGAGTGCAGCGACTCAAAGAATCTAGCCTTTTTGCAAGGTTCGAGTTTTTGAAAGCAGGCGCATCGGTGGAGGACCACAGAGGATGCTCCCTTTGTATCCTACGCTGCGGCCACGTGGACAAAAGTAAGAGCAGAGGTGTAGTGCATATAATATGTTGAATTCCAAATAAAGGTGTGAAGCGACTATAACGATAATAGTAGGATCAATACTGCAGGTGTGAGAAGAATGAATATATGGTACACATACGAACTTTTGAGGGCACTCGCGACGTCCCATGTATGCTATGTTGGAGAAATGTGAGAGTCGACGTGAAGCGTACTGGTCGCTGTAAAGTCCGCTCTAATTCAAAGGTTACGATGAATACTGTATGTGCTGTTGGTTTCCAGGCGTCAGCCAACCTCGGATGTGATGTTATGAGTCTGTATGGTGGTAAATAACTGAGGACAATATTAGTGCTGAGACAAACGTGAGCCGTCTTTGCGTCACGCAATGGACAGCAGCATCGTTGACCAAGATCTAAAACTACATATCATAGGTCCCATTGCGGTTCAGTGGTATGGCATACGTTTCGTATGTAACGCATAATTCACACACAGACAAACTGTCAACCTTAACAACAGGAAAGGTATTGCCACTACATAATCTTCTGGAATACGTCAGACAGACACGTGTTGACACTGATACCAGTTGAAATTTTCGTGATTTTTGTAAACAAAATCATAGCTTCCTAAAAAAAGTAAAAAGGCTAAAAAGACAAAACCAGTTTGGTACATAAATATTCATAGGACTTTCAAAAAAGAAATAGGTCACTTTTTCCCGAATAATGACATAATTATCGGGAATATTCTCCGGGAACAGCAGAACATTCAACATATTTAGTCCTGTTTTTGTTTTTATTTTATTTTTTGTAATTTTGTTTTTTAAAAATAATAATTTAAAAATATATATATAAGTGAAGTCACTGAACAGTGAACACTAAACAGTCAGGCAAGTGGGAGGATTCGAGAATCTGTCCTAGATTCCAAAGTTTAAAAAAAGAAAAAAAAGCAAAATGTGCCTTCTTCTGGAAACAGAAGCTCTCAGAGCTGAATATTAGAGAGAGCCTGTAGTGCGTGAACACTGAACACTCAGAAGTCAGAACAGTGAAAGGAGTGGAGGGACACTCAGAAGTCAGAACAGTGAAGGAGTGGAGGGCCACTCAGAAGTCAGAACACTGAGAACAGCGAGAAAAAACGAGAGAAAAGCCACAGGTGACTATTTCGAGAAACGACAAGAATTTTTGGTTGGTAGTTCCTGAGAGTTCCGGAAATAACTTAAAAATCCGAAGACACAACAGTTGCACTCCGCAGAATACCACACCCTACAAATAGCAGATATTTATTGCCTAAGGTTGCATTCATACATTAACAACCCAAATATAACATATACATATCAACAACTATACTAATAAGTATGCCAGGACAAACTAACAACTCTCCAGTAATTGGAATCGATCTCGGTACCACTTACTCATGCGTTGGTGTATCCAGCACGGCAAGGTTGAGATCATCGCCAATGATCAAGGCAACCGAACAACGCCCTCGTACGTTGCTTTCACAGACTCTGAGCGATTATTAGGAGACGCAGCTAAAAATCAGATCGCTCTTAACCCGCACAACACCGTGTTCGATGCTAAGCGTCTGATAGGCCGAAAGTTCAATGACAAAGAAGTGCAGGCCGATATGAAGCACTTCTCATTCGAAGTTGTGGAACAAAATAAGAAACCAGCTGTACAAGTAGAGTACATGGCTGAAAAGAAGATATTCTTACCTGAGGAGATATCGTCTATGGTGCTGACCAAAATGAAGAAAACGGCAGAGGCCTATTTGGGAACCAAAGTGACAGACGCCGTGATCACGGTGCCAGCATATTTCAATGATTCCCAAAGGCAGAGTACAAAGGATGCTGGGGCTATCGCTGGTCTAAATGTGCTACGTATAATCAACGAGCCCACAGCCGCTGCGATTGCGTACGGTCTGGACTAGAAGGCCGCCAACGATGGCGAGAAGAAGATCCTAATTTTCGATCTTGGTGGAGGCACATTTGACGTTAGTATACTCACCCTGGATCAAGGCATATTCGAGGTCAAGGCTACCGCTGGCGACACACACTTGGGAGGCGAGGATTTTGACAACCGTATGGTTGCCCATTTCGCGAAGGAGCTCCAGCGTAAAAACAAGAAGGATCTGACTACAAACGCAAGGGCGATGCGTAGATTGCGAACGGCATGCGAGAAGGCTAAACGTACGTTGTCGTCTTCTGCGCAGGCCAATGTAGAAATCGATTCTCTTTTCGAGGGTGCCGATTTCTACACTAGCATCACTCGAGCTCGATTTGAGGAAATGTGTGTTGATCTTTTCCGCGGCACACTAGAACCAGTGAAGAAAGCTTTACGAGATGCGAAAATGGACAAGTCGAGTATCGATGAGATTGTGCTGGTAGGTGGTTCTACTCGTATTCCAAAGATTCAGAAGTTACTTTCTGAGTACTTCAATGGTAAAGAGCTGAACAAGAGCATCAATGTGGATGAAGCAGTCGCGTACGGCGCCGCAGTTCAGGGTGCCATTCTCCGGGGTGACACGCACAGCTCAGTCTCAGATCTTCTGCTTTTGGATGTCGCTCCGTTGTCTATGGGTATTGAGACCGCCGGTGGTGTGATGATCTCGCTGATAAAGCGCAACACCACCATTCCCACGAAGCAAACACAGACCTTCTCCACTTATGCTGACAATCAGCCAGCTGTGTCCATTCAAGTGTACGAGGGTGAGCGAGCCATGACGAAAGACAACCACAAGCTGGGCGCCTTTGATCTTGTCGGCATTGCCCCTGCTCCCAGAGGCACACCCCAGATCGAAGTTACCTTTGATATCGATGCGAATGGTATACTCAACGTGTCCGCCCAATATAAGGCCTCTGGTAAGTCGGAGAAGATCACAGTGACGAACGATGCGGGTCGCTTGAATCAGACTGATATCGATCAGATGCTTGCGGATGCCGAAAAGTTTGCAGCACAAGATGAGGTGCAGCGGCAAAAGGTCGCGGCTAAGAATGAATTGGAAGGGTATGCGTTCCAGGTTAAAAACTCGGTGGAGAATGATCACAAAGACAAGATTTCTGAGAGCGACCGCCAGAGTGTGATCCAGAAGGCAGATGAAGTTATCAGCTGGCTGGACCACAATCAGACCGCAGAAAAAGACGAGTTTGAGCATCAGAAGAAAGAATTGGAGGCTGTGGTGAACCCTATTATGACTAGTGTATACAAACAGGCCGGTGCAGGTGGTGTCGGTTGTATGCCTGGGGGATGTGGCACAGGAAACCCAACCTCTGAACCCACAGTGGAAGAGGTCGACTAAGATTATTCGGTCTATATGCAGATCTGCCTTTGAATTATTAATGACTACCTTGCAGTTTTCTTGTGCACTCGTACACTGCACTACCACTAAGTGATTTCAATTGTTGTCCTATAAAACAACCCAAGAATTACGACAAAAAAATTTTAAACTAGAAATAAAACAAATCTAAACAGAATTCAAGTGTGTGCAATTCCAAAATATAATGCGATTAAGTTTAGCCAAGAGTCGTTTAATTCGAGATGCTCTTTCGGTATATCCCTGAAATGTTTGTGATTACTGTTACTATCTTGGTGAACTTGAGAAAACGTTGTGTTAACTTGAGATGTGTGTAGCACATTTAAATTTCGAGTGAAACATCATGAACTTTTTGCAAGCCTGTTTCTTATCATACATAAATATTATTAGATAATACTACATTTTATCATACATGGTTAATATCAGATAATTCTACATGGATACCCGAAACCGGCAGGCTACGGATATGTACCGCATTCTCTTTCAAATGAAAGCGTATGTTGCTTGCTATCAGGCGAATTCTGATTAACTTGATCGCCGCAGTGTGTCATCGCGACAAGCTGCAAATTTGTGCTTGATTACGATATATACGCGCAGCAGCCACACGATTTACCGTATTTCCAACAACACGTGTCTTATAACATGTCCTTGGGATCTGATCACTACATTCAGGAAGTAGCATATTAACTGGCATCTCATCAGGATATAAATTAACGACAACGCACTAGCGTGCGATATAAAATGAAGATACCACTGTTCAGTGATCAGAGCTTTCTGTGCTGGCTATGGAGATACGACAAACGCCGCAATGAGCACTTTATAAGTTTGAACTGTACATGGTATTTCATATATAGCGAAAGAGAAAATACAATTCGTAGAATAGAACATAGCCCTCTAAATTATACACGTATTTATATGTAATTACGTGAATAGAATCATATTCTTCATTAAAAGAAAAAAAAATTGCCATAGATATCTATGAAGCTTTCACAAAATAATAATTGTTGATAAGAGCAGTGACGAAGTTGCCTGTTGTTGATTATGTATTATAAGCCAAGGGGTGCTGTAAACAATTGACAGTGATTATAATATATATTAACAGGCTAAAAACAAGCTTACAGTGCTATTCTGATCACTCCTGCAGTCGTATAACAGTGGCACGATTACCCTACCAGTAGTCATGTCGAAACTACCAGAGGTGCTCGATGATTTGTGTAGTCGATTTATCCTGAACATGCCGGGAGACGAGCTTGCCTCGTTTGATCGTTTGTTCTTCCAGATGGAACAAGCACACTGGTTCTATTTGGACTTCTACAGAGAAAACAACACAGCTCTTCCCTCTCTTAACCTGAAAAACTTCGGTATACAAAGTAAGTAAGTTCGCATTTCTAGTATTGTATACATATGCAATATATAAATACATATATATAT